TATGCACAAATAAATAAATCTTTAAAAAAAAAAAGCTTTTTAATTACTTAAAATTGATAGTCATAAGGTCAATGCCCTGGATAAAGTACCTAAAAAGAGGTAAGCAACATCTACACAAGGATATATAAACAATACATCACCACATGTAAATATGTGAACTTCAGAGCCACTAAAAAATGCAAATTAAAAGATGTCATCAGATAGCAATTAATCTTTTTTTTCTTGATAAAATGATAAAAAAGTTAATTTTGGCAAGGTCATCATCCATCCCTCTTGTTCTTTAACACCCGGACCATGAGAACAGAGAATTAATTAAATCTCTGTGAGATACAATTTTGAAATATCTGAAAAAAACAACCACACTGTTCCTACATTTTAACTCAGATATTAAATTTGGGAGAAAATGTATCAAGGAAATAATCCCTAAAGGGAAAAAGAACTCTGCCAATTATAATGTTAAAAATCAGCAAATCAATGCCTGCCGAGTATGGTGCGGAGTCTGAGATTCTATCGTACTTGTAAGTTAATAACCAGACTGTTACTGTGTCAGAGATGCATCTGAGGACATGAGACTCTTGGGCCAGAGACAAAAGATTTTATTAGTCTGGGCAAAAGCTGTAGCCAGAGCTCCATGTCCATTTGTGCTGGCTCACCATATTCCATAAGTCCGGGGGTGACGGGAAGGGCCACTGATGGTCACCTGAGTGATGGTGGGCTGCTACAGATGGGGAACACTTTTCGGAATTCACTTTTTTTTTTTTTTTTTTTTTTTTGGTTTTAGGCTGTTTTATTGAGGGGCTTCAAGAAGGGATGAGGAGGTCAAGATCAATGTCTTGTTAGGGATCTTCCTAGCTCTCCAGCTGCAGAAAAAGATAGATTTTACCCCTCTATAGTAAAAGGAAGCAAGCTTGTTCTTTGCCCAGATGGAGAGATTACCTCACTCTCAAAAGTCCTTTTGTTGCAAGTACCACTCTGAAAAGTAGCCTGGGTAATGAGAAGTCAGGGCCAAGTATTCTTGACATGTCCAACGAGAATATGAGGTGTTCATTGTACCTCTCTCAATAATGTCTCATTCATTCATTCATTCATTCATTCATTCAACAAATCCATTTAAATGTGTTGCATTCAACAAATCCATTCAGATGTGTGGCATCACATTCTATGTGGCTAGCACAGTACAAGCTGTTAAGGATACAGTGATAATAAATTCCTTGCCCAAGAAGAGCTTACATTTTAGTGGCCGAAGCAGAAAATAAAAGGCAATGCATTAAAAACATGCTGCCACTTCTGTGAAGTGTTGAGAAGAAAAAGCCAAGTGGAAGACAAGTGATGTCTTTAGACAGGGCGAGTGATTGTCTACCCTCTGGTGGGCAGGTTGGAGGGAGAAGGTGGCCCTGGAGCAGAAACCAGAACAAAGGAAATAGGCCCGCCCATCTGAGGAGGCTCTTGACAGAGGAAACAGCACACAGGAGCCTGGAGAATGGCGAGTGCTCGTCATGTTGGAGGAACAGCGTAACAGGGGGCTCCCCAGGAAAAGGCGAGGTTCCAGGTTCCCAGACCCACCCAAGAGAGGATTGAGCTGAGCAGGAAGAGAATCTGGAGAGGAGTCTGGAGCAGAAAAGGAACAGGATGGAGCACCAGGAGCAGAGGAAAGGAGGCATGTGGAGCACAGAGACAGGTGAAGAAGCTGCACTTGCTTTTTGATCCTGGATTGGTTGGAGCAGATGAGAGTGAGAGACTGTGGGGAGGTTCACTATGGCAGTTTTATCTTAATTTTGATTTTGCTCTTCCTTCGAGGCTTGTCTGCTGCTCTCCTCAGCAGCATATTGAGGTCAATCTGCCTGTTCTGCTCCCCATTCTGTCTCTGGTGGAACCTCTCACCCCCCCCCCACACACCTCTGGCCTATACCCCAGATCTTGTATGCATGAATAAATAAAATCTTTTAAAAAATAAAGGTTTTTTGCAGTGGAGTATGTCTTGTCTTGAGGTAGTGGATGGCAGAAATTAGAGCAGGCAGGTTTGGGGTTTGTGGGGTGCCCCCCTCCTGTCCTATAATACCAATGGGCAGGTGACTGAGTGTGGTGAGCAAGGCAAGGCTGGTCTGAAATGAGGATGGAGAAACCCAAGAAGATTTGTAATTGAGACAACATAGTTTTCTAAAATGACAAAAGTTCAGACTTTTTAACATAAAACAATTTACATGAAAGAGCTCAATGATGACACAGGCCAGTGTTTGTCTAGCAGTTTGGCGCAAATAGGACAAAGGGCCAGAGAGTTGAGACCAGTCCTCAGGCAAAAGGTAAGTCAATAAATCTCCATCTGCAAGTGGGAAGGATGCCTAAAACACACACAAGTAAAGTGAAGTAAAATATGTGAAAATGTTTTGTTGTTACAAATATTTGAGAGATTAAAAAATTGTAAAGGCGATGATCAACTCAAAAGATCACAAGGTTTAGGCTAGAAGTTAAAAATAGCTTCAGCAGTCATCATTTATTGAACACATACTCAGTCCTGTGCTGTTGGCCTTATCTGAATACGGTTTTGTAATAAGCTCCTGACAGGTATAATTATTCTTGTTTTTTTAATGAGGAAATGGGGTCTCTAAAAGTCTAAGTGGCTCAAAAATCTCTCAATTATAGAAGGTACAATATAAAAACTATGATTCTGAACAGAACACATAGCAACATGGAAAGTGTTCAGAGAAATCTGCAAAATAAAAAATTAATTTTCGGCATGAAAAATGTATGTGGGTAGAAGCAAACACAGAAATAAAAGCATTTCATGCACCTGACTGATGAAATATGAATGCTTTTACATTTTTAGTATTTTTGCTTTTTTAAAAAGATTTATCTGTTTATGCATACAAGAACTGGGGTGCCTGCAAGAGGTACAGGGTGTGAGAGGCTTCCCCATAGACAGAGTGGGGAGTAGAACAGGCACTGACTGAAATACACTGCTGAGCGGAGTCGTGGGCAAGACAGAAGTCTGCTGTGCCATGCGGGTCACCTCCCTCACTGGGGACTGAACCTGTGCTGCAGTGGCTGTGGATAGCTTCGTAGTGTTGGGCTTTAACCCCTAGCACCACCAGGCAGGGCCCTATTCTTTGTTCTTATAATGTTTGTCAAATAAACTGGGGAGAAAATTATGATGAAAGTAATTCAAAGACAAATCACTACAACTTCTTCTAGAACATAGTGTTCCTCATATCAATTTTCTCAAAACTTTCCAAAATCCAGCTTTCTCCAGGATAAAGTCCACATACTCTGTGTACATTTTCTGCTGACTTCGCCCTAACTTGCCTAGTCCTCCCAGGTTCCACCATGTCCAATATCTGATTTCTTTGCCTACATGTCAGTAAGCAATTTTCTGACCATAGCTTCTAACTCTGTGATCTCTGAACAGCCCACATCTTCTGATCTTTTTATCAGCGATTTGATATGCCTGTTGGTTTATATATATGCATCTGTATTAATATTACTCCTCTGCATGTTGCTTTTGTATCCCTGTGTGAGCTATCAAGTCTGGGTGTGTAGGCAGGAACTGTCAGAGACAGAAACCAGCACTACTCTGTGAATGAAGAGTAAAGAAGCCATTCCTGGGGTATCCTTTCTACAGGGTACAGAGATTGCCCCCAATGCCAGGGGTAGGTGAGATGCTAGGGGAATAACCACTCTCCACACCCTCCACAGTTTCCATGACATTTCCAGAAGCTTCTTCTGTCTGGGAGCAGACTCAGTGCTGGGCCCACTAGCCCCTACATGGGCTCCCCTTAGCCTGGACTGTTGCTAGAACGTCTGTTAAGTTGCCCTGGACCCTACCAAAGGGAAATTAGGGCTCTGTATTCTTTGTACTCTTCTGCTAAGAACAAAGGTAATGCAGTACTAGGTTGACTTTATTATGGTTGGCCCATTTTTGACTAGTGTTAAGACACTGAAAATGGGGATGGGGTTTGGGTGGAAGGTTAGGGAGTTTCACCTTTGTAATTAGTTTTACCTTTGCTCAGGAGGAGCAAACAGTATCTCCAGCCTTATCCTGGGTAAATGGAACTGGAAGACAAAGTCTTCTTGGCATATTAGCAACTGAAAGTGTGGGTGTGATGTAAATAGGTTTATGAAGTCGGAAGGGTGAAGAGGTTGGAAACACTTGCTCCTCAGGCCTCCCTGATAACTGCTTAGAAACACCTGGCTCTCTTTAAATAGAGCCTGAGAAAACTTCCTTAGGCAGAAGGATCGAATCAGGTTTACTGGCTCTTGGCTTTATATACTCCAGCATGGGAATCTCCTTTTTTTTTTTTAAAGATTTCTTTATTTATGCATACAAGAACTGGGGTGTAGAAGGACTACACCCCCCCCCCCCGCAAATTCCAGAAAATCAGACAATCAGACCACTTAATCCTGGAGACGGCAGCCCCTATGTTTCCCCCACTTCTAACCGTTCAAGCCCCCCTGGAGAGATCGGGTAGGGTGGAGGCTACGGAATGCCTCCACTTTGGAGAACCTTCAACTCTAAGGCGTGAGGGTACCCTCCACACCGCAGAAGCAGGGACACCCGTGGGACAGCTTGAAGGCTTGCGGTTGGGGCAGCTTCTCCACAGCACCCCGCGCCCATATGCAGCCCCTCGGGAGGTCGCTGGCGTGGGTTGGGGGACAACTCTCTTAAGTCCGCCCCTGCGCGCGAACGCAGGCTGCGCTTTCGGATTCTCAGCCTGTGGACAGCCAGCCGGTTACCCCGGGGACGGCGGGGGAAGGGGGGTGCTGGCGCGCCCAGGGGAGCTGGTCTCCTAAGTGATCCCACTCTCTTTTTTTCGTCCACTGGAAAGAGGTCCACGAAGTCGCGCGGCTGGCAGAGTGCCAGCGAGGAAGCAGGTGGTGTGAGGTGGACCCCTCTCTGACCCTGCACGCTGCGTGTGCTACCGTGCGCTCGCCCGCCCAGTCCATGCAGAACCCTGGGACCGCGCTTGCGTCTCCTGCGGGGTAGCTGCGATCCCGCGCCGCGCGCTATGGAAGCCGCTAACCTTTCGGTGGTAGCTGGTGGCCTCGCCCTTCCCCCGCAGCCCGAGGCGTTCAGCAGCGTCCCGAGCCAGAGCAGGATCCCCGGGTCGACCCCAGGCGGCACCGCCCCGCCAGGCAGAGAGCCACCTCTTTCCGTCTTCACCGTGCTGGTGGTGACGCTGCTGGTGCTGCTGATGGCAGCCACTTTCCTGTGGAACCTGCTGGTTCTGGTCACCATCCTGCGCGTCCGCGCCTTCCATCGTGTTCCGCATAACTTGGTGGCCTCGACGGCGGTGTCGGACGTGCTGGTGGCCGCGCTGGTGATGCCACTGAGCTTAGTGAGCGAGCTGTCGGCTGGGCGACGTTGGCGGCTGGGCCGGAGTCTGTGCCACGTGTGGATCTCCTTCGACGTGCTGTGCTGCACCGCCAGCATCTGGAATGTGGCCGCCATCGCCCTGGACCGCTACTGGACCATCACGCGTCACCTGCAGTACACGCTGCGCACCCGCCGCCGCGCCTCGGCTCTCATGATCGCGCTCACCTGGGCGCTGTCGGCGCTCATCGCCCTGGCGCCGCTGCTCTTTGGCTGGGGCGAAGTGTACGACGCTCGACTCCAGCGCTGCCAGGTGAGCCAGGAACCCTCCTACGCCGTCTTCTCCACCTGCGGAGCCTTCTACCTGCCGCTTGGCGTGGTGCTGTTTGTCTACTGGAAGATTTATAAAGCAGCCAAATTGCGCTTTGGCCGCCGACGCCGGGCTGTGCTGCCGTTACCCGCCACCGTGCAGGTGAGTGGCGTGCCGCGGAATTGGTAGGAAAGGAGTTCGGGTGGGCGGAGGAAGAAGCTTGGGGAAAGGAGAAGTTGGCGGTAGAATCCTGCACATTTGGGGCGCCAGCGAAAAAGTTGGCCATTAGCACTGTCGCATGCACGGGAGTTTGCCATCTGCTCCCCAGAAGCGCTCCTGGAAGGGTTCTTCTGCACGCAGTGCGCTCAGAGGGTTAGTTCCCTGCATACCTGGTGCCCGGGGGAAGGACTTCAGCACTTCACACTAGGGCTGAAGCCCCCTGCAACAGCCCATCAGGCTGCAGGATGTTTGCAGGGACAGCCTTCTCGGTAGAGCTCAGGGCCTTTCTGTGTCTTCTGTCACCAGGAGGGGTTGTGTCCCTCTGATTCCCGCAGCCATCAACTGCTTAATCCTGGCTAGAAAGAGGGAGTTTCTGTAGCTGGGAATTCCTCCCGCGGTGGAAGGAATTTCTGCAACCTTTCACCCCTTAGTTTTGGTCTCCACCACTTTGCCGCCCAGTCCAGTAAGTAACTCTCCCAGTTCTATAGACTAATTGCAAAAGCGGGAGGGGAAGGGAGCTGAGCTTGAGGATAAAACATAGCCCTAGTGTTTCTATCCTTTCCTTATTCCAGTCTCAGTGGTGAACTGTGGTGACTTTGGAACAACATAAAACTGTGGGTCAGTTCCCAGCTGGGCGCTATTGATGCGCTGTTACTGAATATCCCTGGGCCTCCTTTCCTTATTTTTAAGCAAGTGGATCCCAGCTTCATAAGATTTTGGGTGAGGATGACTTGAGATGACGAATGAAGCACTTGGCATAAGGTGGGTGGCATAGCTGGTCTCACATTTAAGCCTGGAAATGAGATGGCTGGAGGAACCTGCATTTGGCAGAATTTCTCTGCTTTGTAGGCACTAACCTGTATAGAGCTTTTTGCACTTTGGCCAGACCCTGATAGATGTCAGTCCTCTCTTCACCCTACATTACTCCAGCTTTCCCTTTTAGGTGTTCCAGGCATCCATGTAACAGGCCCACAGTCCTGGGAAATTACAGGGCTGCTTGCCTTTTTCCAAATATAAAATACGAGCCAGAGAAAGTGGAGGTGGGCATAAAGGTTGAAAAAACAGGGCACATTTTTATATGTTTTTCAGTTTTTTTAAATGTGTTTTAATTTTAGAAAGTTTAATCAGATGTGTTCTTAGCCTACTCAACTGCATATGTTTTTAAAAGCAATGTTCTTTTCTATTCATCAAATGGCAGAGGGATTTTGTAACACAAAATAAGACTGTCAAGAATATAATTGGGAGTGTTGGTAGGGAAGAGCTTTATTCAGAATTAATGATGTTCATTGGGAGGCCCTTTCGAAATGCCTAGGGTGTTTATAGCTTTTCTGTGTGATTGCCAAGGTAGGGCTGACGTTCATTGGCTACGTCGCTGCTCTGTGCACCCAGAGCAATCATGGTGGACTGGATGCCAGAAAGGCGTGCCAGGCCTGAGTTTAGTGCTCATTCTTGGTTTAGTGTTCATGTGCTCCATTTGGGCAGGTGACATGAAAAAGACAGGCCTGGACCAGTGCCTGGCCAATCCTGGGTGGCCATTGATGAGGGAAAAGAGTCGTAAGGGTCAGAGCAATGCTGAGGTTTTACCAGCCAATGGTAGTAGGACCTCGGGCAAGCCCTGTCCCACTTTGGTTCCCAAATTCTCTTCTTTATCACACAGTGTTGGTCTGTTATGCCCAATAACCCCAAATCTTAAAATGCTGAGATTGTAGAAGAGATGGCATTTGAAAGCATTGTGCTTTAAAAAAAAAAAAAAGATTTATTTATGCACACAGAACTGAGGTACAGGCCAGAGGTAGAGGGGGGGCGGTGGTGAGGGATTCACCAGAAACAGAGTGGGGAGCAGAACAGACAGATGTCCTGAAATACACTGCTGAGCGGAGTAGAGGGTGAGGCAGGAGAGGTCTGCTGCGCCATGTGGGTCACCTCCCTGGGCGGTGGGGTCAAACTTGTGCTACAGCGAAAGCCTTGTGCTTTTTAACCACCAGCCAGTCCTTACCCAAAACCCTGGTAATGTTGCTGAATCAGACTTTGTAAGCTTTCTAGCAGCAGAACATCTGATAGAAATAAAAAATAACATGCCAGGAGTAGAATCTATCTTCCCCTACCTGCTTTTTTCTGTACTCTAGTTGAGAGTTGAGTTGAATTTCAGTCCTGCAAAGAGTCTCCACCATTTTCTGTGGCTGAGAGAAGTACCAGGCTGTGTATATCCTTTGTCTTTTTTCAGGATTCTGTGGCTAGGTCCCATTGCTAAAATACTATCAGAAAGGGGTCTGTAACTGCTCTTGGGCAGGAAGTAATTCTTTTGGGCAAAATGCAGTTTTTGAAAGTAGAGAAGTAAACAAAGTTTTGAGTAAGTTCCCTCTTGCAGACACTTGCAGACACTTTTTCTGATGCTTTCATTCATCTGCTTACTTGCCTTTGTGACTCAGCCAAGCTGGCTTTGCAGTCTCGTTAGCCAGGATAAGCTAGCCTATGCTTAGTAACATGTAACCTCCAAACCATTGTTTTTCATTCTCATCCAAAGCTCCACGTGGGTGCGGCAGTGCCCCTGTGTGGCACTTCACCACGCAGTCACTCGTGGGTCAGGACACATGTCATCATCCACGATGCTGTCTGAACATGTGGCTTCCATGTGGATGAGGGCACAATGTGTGAAGACTCAGAAGCTTTTAATTGCTTTACCCTAAAGTGGACACACGCCATTTCTGCTCACAGCCCACAGGCCAGCCTCGAGCTGTGCAGTCAAAGGGAGCTACTCTTTGGTGAGCACTAACTGCCTTTGCTACACTACCTCATTTTCAAATGACAAAACCAAGGTGCCACAAGTGAGGCCACCCAAGACCACACAGTTAAAGGGACCTAAAATCCCTGTTCTTTCCATCACACTTCCCTGACTCTGTGCTCTCTCCTGAAACTGGACTTCTGGGCTCAGCCCCACGTCCCACAGACCTCTCGTTTTCTCAGGGATGAGGCCATCACACTCTAGGTCAAGGTGTTTCACCAGGTGCAGTGGCTCAAAACTATTCATGCAAAATGTCTTTTCCTGGACTGAGCTGGGCTCAGTCGGGCACAGAGGCACTGCCAGCCAGGAGACAGGTGAATTCCCCGGTTGCCAGACTTTCTTCCAGCCTTGTGGGCTGAGCATTGAGTGTACAGTGTATTCTGCTCCCCACGCGCAAGCTGCCTCCGTGGGTTATGACTGTTTCATCCTGCTGGTGCTCTTTGCTCATTAGAAGAAGAAAAAAGCAGGGTCAACAGAGATGACTTTATGCCATCAGAAGTTTTGCTTTTCTTCTTTCCATTGCGTGTCTGATCTCTAGGCACAGGCGGATGTTGAGACCCACTTGTTTATTAGCACAGTGGCCCAGAACTGGGAGCCACAGCCAATGGCCTTGGAAATGTTTTAATTTTAATTTCTTGTAAAATTAGAAGAAAATGAACATCATAGTAATGAACCCAGCCTCGATTTTATTAGCCTTTAGCATACTATGGCCAAAATATATTTTTTTAATATTTTCTTTTTTAAAAGAGTTATTTATGCATACAAGAACTGAGGTACAGGCCAGAGGTGCAGGGCGGTGAGAGGATTCACCAGACGGGGTGGGGAGCAGAACAGGTGGATTGACTGAAATACACTGCTGAGGAGGTGAGGTCTACTGTGCCATGTGGGTCACCTCCCTGGCTAGAGATCGAACTCATGCTGCAGTGACTGTGACAGCTTCATAGTGTTCCAGGGAGGCCCCTAATTTTGAATATTTTCTTAATGGAAGCAGGGGCCCACAGACACCAAGCTGCCTTAGGGCTGTGAGAGGCCATAAAGCAGCACTGCCTGCTACATGCCACTCACCCACTCTATCAATAAGTTTGTGGGAGATGGTGAGTACAGTGGGTAAGAGCATGGGCTTTGGAGACAAGGAGAGCTGAGTTTCCATGCCTTTTGTGCCATGATTAGCTCTTTGCCGAGTGACTTAATCCAAGTCTGCATTTCCCTGTCAATAAATGAAAACATTGCCATCTGTCCCCATAATAGTCTTGTGAAGAGTCAATGGACTAATAATGTTAGAGAGTATCTAAAATACTCCAGACATGATAGTTGCTACATAATTATTTTTAAAAGATTTATTTATACATCTAGAACTGGGTACAGGCCAGTGATATAGGGGCACGAGACAGAGTGGGGAGCAGAACAGGCAGATTGACAAAGTACACTGCTGAGGGGAGCAGCGGACTGCCATCCGGGTCACCTTCCCAGCCAGGGATCTAACTGGGGTGAACGGCTGTGGCCAGCTTTGCAGTGCTGCGCTTTAACCTGTTGCACCACCAGGGAGGGCCCAGCTGCTGTATTATTTAAATGCTTATTTTTAATTCCCTCTTATAGATTGCAATAATAAATTATTGTATTTTCCAACCATCATAACTGGATTAGTCATTTACTGCTGTGTAACAAATTACTCCAAAGTTTAGCAGCTTAAAATAACAAACATGTACTAACCCCTGTTCCTTGAGCCAGGCATCAGGGATGGCTTGGTTGAAAGTTCTCTGTTGAGGTGTCTTGCAAATGAGGTCAAGATGGCAGGCAGAGGCGTATCCTTCACAAGCCTGCCAGGGGTTGGGGTGCCCCTCTCATGGCTATGGACAGGACCTCTCAGCCACATCCAGCAGGACCTTGCCACAGAGCTGTTGAATCAAGGAAAATGCAATGCCTTTTGATCTGGTCTCAGAAGTTCTATCTGATCCCATCCTCTATATTCAATTCATAATAATTGTATCACTTTTCCAGCCCACACTCAAGGGAAGGAGAATTAGATTCCACCTTTGGGGAAAGTACCAATAAGCTTCTAGATATATAAAGCCATCATGATAAGACACATTGGTGTTTTCAAAATTAAATTTACTTTTACTGACCTCCTGACAGCCTCCCAAGATTTCAAAGAATGAGCAAA